ACGGACAAGGAGTCAATTCTTCCTCTTACTCCGAGAGCGCTTGCGCAACACGTATCTACGTCGCATCAGCAAGTTAAATCCAGGCGAACCACTCGCATGGAAATACATTTCCGGACGAAAAAGGGCATCACTTCCACCTCCTACATCATTGTTGTTGGGAGATGGTCAACACACTTATAAAACAGCAAGGAGAGCAGCGAATGCTCTCAATCGCATCTTTTTTCCACTTCACCCCTCTCACAAGGCAGTAAGGTTTTCCAAAGGCATCAAAAGACAGAACCCATCTTTGGGCATTGTTTCTTCTCTTTTTGGGCAGCAGAAAAACAACGAGTCTGCTGCCTCATTTACTTCATTTTCTTCTACTTCTTCTGGCTCTGAGCCGCAGAATAACAGCGAGTCTGCCGCTACATCTAATTCAGTTTTTTCATTCTCATCTAATTCAGAGCCACAGGATAACAACGAAGCTGCCACCACATCTGGTTTAGTTGCTCATCTTCACTTCCCTCTTGATGCACCTTTTAATCGTACGGAACTGCTTGCTGCGCTACGTAATACGCCGTATGGCAAGGCCCCCGGACCGGATGAAGTCTACAGTGAGGCACTGCGACATATTTCGTCAAAGGGTCTTCGATTTCTTCTTCGTTGCATTAACCACAGCTGGACGACAGGTACGATCCCGGCTGAGTGGAGACGCGCTACCATCGTCCCACTCTTAAAACCCGGCAAGTTGCCGGAACTGCTTGAGTCATATCGACCCATCAGCCTTACTTCCATTGTGAGTAAGGTTGCTGAGAAAATGGTACTGAAGAGATTGCTTTGGGTGTGGACGCCACACACCCACCAGTATGCATATCGTAGTATGCGTACTACGACGATGCAGCTGGCACACCTGATACACGAAGTGGAGCATAATAGAAATCATTATTTCCAAGTGAACCTCCCCAAGAAGAGCGGTATTGGTAATCAACTCCACTACAGACCCCATCGGACTCTGCTGGTGTTGGTTGATTTCAGCAAGGCTTTTGACTCCATAGATCATCGAGTCCTCAGTCGCTTGCTGGCTAATATTCCGGGGGTGAATTGTAGAAGGTGGCTTAGAAACTTTCTATGTGGTCGCTATGCGAAGACACGAGTTGGTAACAGAAACAGTGATCGGCGTCCCATGCTGCGAGGAGTTCCTCAGGGGTCCGTACTGGGACCATATTTGTTCTCCCTTTACGTACACCCACTTCTCAATCTGCTGAACAGCTTTGCGGGTGTCACAGCAGACATGTATGCGGACGACCTCTCTATTATCGTTAAGGGGCAGTCCCGGGAAGACGCCATTCCCACTGCCAACATGGTTCTTAAAAAACTGCATGCGTGGAGTCAGGAAAATGGCCTGGCCATTAACCCGTCAAAGTGTGAAGCCGCTTGGTTCACGCTCTCCACGCACACGGAGTCAGATTATGATCGTGAAGGAAAGTGGCCCCTGGTAGTGGCTGGATGTCAAATCCCAGTCATGACCATGGGGGCATCGCGAACTACGAAGCTTCTTGGCATGGATCTCGATCCACGACTGACGCTAAATGTGGCGGCTACCAAGCAATGCGCTGCCACTTCGCAACGGATATCGCAGCTACGCTGCATAGCACATAAAGAGGCGGGACCATCTCCACATGACCTACGCACGTTCGTCATTGGATATGGTGCTTCCAAATTACGATATGGCAGCGAGCTCATATGGGCAGTAGCGACGGATTCAGCGAAGAATGAGATGCAAAAGACGTATGCAACCCTGGCACGCATTGTCAGCGGAGTTCCGAGCACTGTCGACCCAGAATCCGCACTTCTAGAGGCTAATATGCCGCCGCTCCATGTCCTCTGCCTGCGCGCGCGGCTCTCCATATTTGAGAACACACGTGCATGTCAGATGGACTGGATGCGGAGACCTCCGCCTGAGCCACCGCCCCGCGCAGGTTTCCGCATCTCGCCATTATCTCGGGACGAGCTATATGCCTTCGTAGACGCGTACACAAAGGACTATGGCATCACTCAGAGCTCACCACGCGAAGAGCGGTTCTTTCGCAGCTCCATTCCTCCCTGGTTTGCGGCCTCCGCACACCGGGTCACCATTGGCGTGGAACTTCCGATAGACCACTCAATAACTGACGAGGAAGAGCTGACAAGGGAAAAGCGCAGAGTCAGCGAAGAGGCTCTAGCGCTGCACAGCCATCGTTCGTGGATACTCGCGACGGATGGCGGTGTAGACGTTCCCAAGTCAGCCGGGGTTGGAATCCTGCTTTCATCCCTCAATTCATCGGAGATAATAGAAAAGGCCAGTATAAACTGCGGTGCACGCCCATGCAGCTACAGGACGGAATCCCGTGCGCTGCTTCTAGCCCTAGAGAAGCTGATTATCCCTCGTATCCAGCACAGGCGTAAAACCCTGCTTGTGGTTACAGACAGTCAGTCTCTTCTTGCGGCTTTAAATAAGGGCCCGCTCAGTCAGACAGACTGGACGGAGGATCAGATCTGGCAGCGTCTCTTAAC